CCTGCCTCTAAGCTGCCTTGTCATAGGCCAAAGCAGCTTACTTATTAACCAATGGGAACAACATATATTCAAAGTGTACAGAAAGACATCCCCCAGCATGACTTTCCTACAGTGTAGGTACAACAGCCATGAGAAGCCACCTGTATGAGCTGAGGTACCTGAGAATCCTAATACCCAGAGCAGGGTGGCCCACAGCTGAGGAGTAATGCTGAACCAGGACCCGTGCAGGAAAAGATGTCTCCAGTGTGAAATAACGGCCACTGTGACAAGGACACCAGCAGACATTGGTGCAGAACTTCTTCCTTCGGGAAAGCGGTCTGGTATACATCAACACTGCTTTTGGCTGTTTAACATCTTCTATACAGGTGCAAAAGACCCTTAGCCAAACACTTCTGGCAACATAACATTCTCTACTAGGATTCCTTAAAGCCCAGCTTTTAGAAGATTCAGGTTTGGAAAGCAAACCCCAAATTAAGGAAGGCTACCAGGACCAGCAGCTGTTATTCCAGCTGAGCGAGGCGGTGCATGGTTACCTCAGCACTTAGGAAGCAGAGGCAGGAAGTCATTGCAGGGTGTTGTTTGTTTGTTTGCTTATTTGTTTGTTTTTGAGACAGAGTTTCTCTGTATGTAGGCCTGACTGTCCTAGAACTTGCTCTGTAGACCAGACTGGCCTCAAACTCACAGAGATCCACTTGCCTCTACCTCCTGAGTGCTGAGATGCTGGGGTTAAGGGTGTGTGCAACCACCACCACCCAGCTGATTATTGCAAGTTTGAGGCCAGCCTGAGCCACAGAGTAAGACCCTGTCTTAAAAAATCAAAAATAAAACAAAACTAAAATCTGTTTTATTCTCACAATAGCTCAGATTGGACATAAGAAGTTTTCTTTATCTTATTTTAGTTGAGATAGATACATAGATAGATAGATAGATAGATAGATAGATAGATAGATAGATAGATAGATAGATAGATAGTACTTGTATGTGATTTCGAATCCTTTGGAGCTGGAGTTGCACCCAGTTGTGAGCTAATCAGTGTGGGTGCTGGGAACTGAACTTGGGTCCTCTGACCTTCTAAAGAACACTAGGAGCCATCTCTCCAGCATCCTGGTTTTTATTTTTTATTTTTATTTATTTATTTATTTATTTATTTATTTATTTATTTATTTATTTATTTTTTAAACAAGGTCTAACTCTATGGCCAGATGGCCTGGGAAGAATTTTTTCATTTAAGACGCAAAGTATGACCAAAAGCCAAACCCTACCTCCACAACACTGAACTGCATTCAACTAAATGAATGGGCCTAAGGGTGTCTCAGGCACTGTGGCCACAGTGTGTCTCTAATTCCTCCACAGAGTTCTCACGGAGAATGGGGAACGTCACAAAACTCACAGAAAAAGTTACAAGACGCAATCAAAAACTTGCAGAGGATGGATGGACTCTTTGGTGGAGCTGCCTACAGGTTGGGCAGTGGCCCTCTGGAAGAGCAGCCAGTGCTCTTAACCACTGAGCCATCACTCCAGACATAGGTAACCTCTCTTAACCAGTCTGTTTTTGTTTTCATAATGGTGAACTTGTTCTTCTGGACCTCATTCTGTTAATTTTGATAAACCAGACTACCTCCATTTTAGTCTGGAAAGCATCTTATAGAAAACATTGTATAGTTTACTTTATAAACTTTATGTAACATTATATAAGTTACATCTTATAGTAAACCTAAACATTCCTTTTGGATTAAATCTCTGTTTCTCAAGGAGGTGGTTATGCCCCCATCTTAACTACAAAAGGTTCTGTACTGCCTATTCCAGGAAACAGCAACCATACCCTCGTTTCAAAGGTTGTTATGACCACCTTGTTATGACCACCTTGTTATGACCACCTTGTTATGACCACCTTGTTATGACCACCTTGCAGCCATGTCTTTGTTTCCGGAGGTTTTTATGACCAACTTTCTATGCTTATGTTCTGCTTCTGTAACCCTACCTATTTGCCTGCCAAATCCCCTATTTGGAAACCCTGTACTCCTAAACTATAAGAATCCTTATCTTACCCATGTTCAATGCTGAACTCTTGAAGCCCACCTTTAGGGAGAGACAGCATGTGTACACGAATTAAAAAAAACTTGCTTTAGCTTGGTGGTGGTGGTGCACATCTTTAATCCCAACACTTGGGAGGCAGAGGCAGGTGGATCTCTATGAGTTCGAGGCCAGCCTGGTCTTCAAAGTGAATTCCAAGACAACCAGGGCTGTTACACAGAGAAATCCCGTCTCAAAAAACAAGAAGCAAAAAAGCTTGCTTTAATTAATTTGGCTATGATTTGGGTCAGTGGCCTCTCTCCTCATACCTGTGGGACTAACAATTTCCCTCACTCAAATTTCCCTCACTCGGAGCAGGCCTGCCCATAAGCACCTTCTTTGCTTTCAGGATCACAGGAACAAATTTCGTCCAAAGAACCTCTGAATGGATGCAGCTACCGACAGCCCAAATGTTCACCCTTCACTCTTCTTTGCACACCACCTACCGATGCTGGTATCTAAAACACAACGCTTAGGAATTGTGGGCCATGTAACTCGGCAGTGGATACACTTTGCCTAGCTATCCCAGTAACTGGTCCTTAACATCTTCATTCACACACAAGCTTGGTCAGCTCTAAGGGAATGTATTGTCCCAGGGCTGGCTGTTTTGCTTCTTGGGGGATGGCAGCATGTAGGTCACTGTTTCTACTTTCTCCAAATAAGCCTCTTTGTCTTTGGTTCTGACTTATTTTCTCATCATATTTCACAGACAGCCTACAAACAGAACCAGGGGAGGTACAACAATGTTAGTGTCAGTCAGCCTCCCAGTAGGAAAGCAATTACATGCCTCAGGGCCTTAGAAGACACTAAGTGGCAGCTATCTGCAAATGCAGAAGAGGATTAAGGAGCGCAGAGGGCCTCCGGAGCACTCCGGGGAACAGCAGAAAGCAGGGCTCTTATCAGCCCCGGGCCTACCAGGATGGTGGTGCTTATAGCTGGTGTACTCTATGCAGCGCCCACCTCTGCCAACCTGATCACACCATCCCAGGGAGAAGCTGCCAGGAATCCCAGCTCAGACCAGCCAACGGGGAGCAGAACTCCAATAATTGACAGACAAGGGGGGGCCAGCCCCAGCCCCTCCCCCCATGGAAAACAAAGAAACTCAGACCTATATGAAGCAGCAAGAAGTCAGGCTCCCAGGAGGGCTGGATAATGTTCATATTTTTTATCACTATGCCAGGCTCAAAACACATTTGCACAGGGCATGGTATTCCCTTATTCCATAACTGATCAAAAGTTAGGAGCCTCTGCAATGGAAGGCATCATGAGGAGCGGGATGCTACTGTTCTCCAAACATAAAGCAGTATTTCCTTCTGCCAATCAGGAAGCACTAAAGGGGATTGCAATAGCCTAAGCTTCCTGTGCTATACACGGAAAGATCTTCGGAGACGGTTTCTGTTATTAGTAACCCCAGAACAGAGCCTCCTCAGACACCAAGACCACAGGCTTGGCACAAGAGGCAGCCGGTGAAATAGCGATCCTTCTGTGGTTCCCAGGGCAGGTACCTGGGAAGGTACTGTGTGCCGGTTTCTTCAGCCATAAAACAGGGATAACGATAACATTGGACTACTCTCCAGTGACCATCCTGCCTCCTAACACAGTTACTTAGTGGGTGCAATTGCAGGCAGTCTTTTGACACATGCTGATTCCAAGAAGTCTCTGTCACTGTTTGTTCTCTGCAATTGACCCCATGGCAAAGTCCCTGGAATCCTTCTGTCCTATCTAAGACAGAACGGGACTTGATTTCCCAGTCATGTTGTTTGTCTGTAATGAGAACCAGGATTTTGTAAATCTACACAGAAATAACCTGGAACTAAACTTTCTCACAAAAATCTAGTTGGGGGCACTTCCGCTATCTCCTCCCTTCAAAGTTTGCAGCCTCCACCCTTAGAATGCCTGACTTGAACTGCTCGAGGGGCAGACGCAGCAAGCACTCCGGACTATACAAGCTTCCCTTGAGTTCCCTGGAGGGCAGCGGGACTGTCCTGGGCACTCTCTCCCTCCTGCTGAAGCACAAGGCCTAATGAAGCCCCCTTTGGGTGAAAATGCTTGCATATTTGGAATTGAGCAAAAATTCCAAGACTGCCTCCATAGTCCTACGAGCTGCCAGCATTAAGAGCTGGGTTGACCGATGACAAGTTGAGCCCCGGCCTCTGTTCTTTGGGTTAGCCTCTGTAACCAGCCAGGTGGGTTACTGATAAAAATACAAATTTGTGGAGCTGGGAGGGGGCAGCACACACCTTTAATCCCAGCCCTCAGGAAGCAGAGGCAGGTGGATCTCTGAGTTTGAGGCCAGCCTGGTCTACAGGGTGAGTTCCAGGACAGCCAAGGCTACACAGAGAAACCTCACCAAAAAAAAAACAAAACAAAACAAAAACCCAAAAAACAAAATAAAAATGCAGTTTTATAAAATAAAATGTATAGCCCTTCCCCACAGGCAGAATACAAAGTGACCAGACTGAATTTCAGTCGGACAACAATTTCTTTGTACGTCTATGTCCTGGTCATTGAGAGCACCCCAGATTGGAGAGTACCTTTAGAATCCCCATCAGGCCCATGTCCAGCCCCTTCCACTCTGAGCAACCATGAGCTCTGCTAAACATTGCAGCCCCTGGGGTGAGAATTTGGACCAGAGCTCCGTATTGGAGAGAATGTGGCCATTGACCCTCACTTGAACTTGGCACAGGTTTGCTGGTTCCTATTACTGGGCAGGAAGAACCAGAGGAAGACAGGGAAGGGATTCAAATGTTAATAGTCACCTCTATTCTCCAAGTGTCTATCAAATTTCCACGGTCGATGTTCTGAAAGAGAACATCTGTGCGGTAGATCATCTATAAACCCAAGTGGGCCATTTGCCTTGTGAAGATGAACAAGGGCAGCCACCTGGCTCTTGTGTGATGAGAAATGCTGGAACCAGGTCAGCAGGACGGAATTCCAAAGATGCTGCGCAGAGTCTTCCCAGGCTCAGAGTGACACCAGCGGTCCCACTGCTTTCTGAAACCCGAGTGCAGTGACACTGAGGGGTGATATGAGCTCTGTCACTCAGCTAGAAGTGAAGACTGACGCTGGGACAGCAGAGAGACAGACTGGCTGAGATGGGCGCATCATCTGGGGAAACCTGGCCTACCCTTTGCCGGAGAGTAGCCAGGTATCACAGTGAGCCTATCTCACCATGACTTGCCGAGCTTGGATGAGCTGATGTGTAACCTCTGTTCCTAGGATGGGAAGTGAATTTCTGTTCTTTGCTGACTGTCATTTTATGTATTCCAATGAAATCCTAGCTCTCCCACTATCCAGACAGAGTTGAACTTGGACAAGTTCAACTCAAGTACCAGAAATAAAAACAAATTTGGATTGGTTTTGAGAATCAAGCAATTACAGAAAGCATAGTTGAGCACACACACAAACAACTGGTACACAATGGCTGCCGTTATCACCATGGATGGAGTCTGATCCTCAGGCTCCTGCTAAGTAAGAGGAAGCAGCACCAGGTGGCCATACCACACTCTCTCCAGCACCCCAGCCAGACTCTGGTCGTGCAAGTATGATGCCCGGCTGCTCCTGCCCAATGTGACACTCTTCTGAATGGCAGCTGAGACCACAGGCTTCCCTGAGGTTTGGATGGGACCATCCAGTGTACGTCGTTTCCTGAGGTTGTCCTGCTAGTTTGCTAGCTTCCTCTAGTCTACCTTCCCAGACACCACCCCAACCTTTTAGTACATAAATCTTTGATACCTCTCTCCTGTTGCATGTTTTCTGGGGATGGTCCTCAGTTTACACCAGCCTGGAACACATTCACCCAGCAGAGTACCCAAGCATTTAGGAAACAAGAAGAGAGTGATTAAGTTATTGCTCAACAAGGAAAGACCTGTATAAGGAGAGAGAAACTGGGAGACAGGGGGACAGAGGCAGACACAGACACACGAAGTCAGGAGGGAGAAGGAGAGGGGAAGGAGGAAGTGGGGGACCACTCCAGTGTCTGCCAGCCCCTCCCCACCCTCCCTAGCTCCTCTGGTTCACCTAAGTCTCAAAGCATCTAGCTGAAGCAAGGGCAGTTCCCAGCTGACTCCAACTGACTGGGTGCTCAACCACTGCCCCACACTCTGGCCAGCTCTGGCCTCTGCTCTCCCCAGCTCTGTCAACTGTTAGCGAGCGTGAGGTTTCCTCACCAAGACCTCTTTCCAGTTCTGTCTTTTGTTTTGCTTTCCCAGTTGCCCTTTGAGGAGACAGTTTTTTCATTGGGGAAACTCATGACCTCTGACCCATGTCCCTCTGAACCTCCAGATGCTCTGATGAGTCTCTTATCAGGGGCCTGGAGGGTGAAAGGGGTTTGGGTGGCAGCTAAGCCTCTGATGCACAAAACAGGAGGAATAAGGCACTCCCTGCCGCAGCTAAACTCAAACCAACGTGTAATGAAACAATTTCATGGTAAAACGTTCATGCTTTGGTCTCAGTGTTGACAGTCACATGCCATGTCCGGTAACTGAGCGCCTCTGCACTCACCCCCTGCTTCTGCAGCTCTGCCTGTCCTCTGTGGTACACCCCCCAACACACACACACACACACACACTGCTTGTGCAGCTCTGCCTATCCTCTGTGGTACACCCCCCAACTGCTTCTGCAGCTCTGCCTATCCTGTGTGGTACCCGCCCCCTGCTTCTGCAGCTCTGCCTATCCTGTGTGGTACCCCATTCCTTGGCCCTCCTGTCCTGAGCATCCCACATCTCCCAGGTCTCATGTCTCTCTTGAAAGTCTCTGAGAGATAGGCTTAATCAAGGTTACTTCACAATTAGACAGATCTGAGGAGGCATCTCTGCTGCTCAGCTGATTGCTAGAAAAGAGTTGACCTACCGGCTGGCAAGCCCTGGCAGCCACAAAACTTCTCAGTCTGTCTCCCTGTGACAAGTGGGAGCTGAGTTGCTGCTGTTCCAGGCAGTAGCCATGCTAATCTTGGGAAACTGCATCCTGAATATTTGGCCAGCTCTAATGAACCAACCTCAATCACATCCTAATAGGTCACAAAAGGTTCCTAGGGAACCTTGGCCTCCAGATGGAGCCTTGTGGAATTTGCCTGTCTAGAGCACAAAAAATCTACACAGAAATAACCTGGAACTAAACTTTCTCACAATGCTGGAAATGAGGAAAATGGAATACAGTAAAATGTCGGATGTTATTCACTGTTTGGGCTACATGGCTGACCCCCATCAAGGACAAGCAGTGCCCTGGGGATCTCGGCGTTCTGTGGAAAAGTTTCAGAATACTATTCACAGGAGGAGGGTCAACAAGGAGCTGCCTATGGCAGTCACTTCATGAAGACAGAAAGGGAATTGCCAGGACTGGAGATAAGGCTCAGCATTAAGAACATTCTTGCTGCTCTTGCAGAGAACCTGGGTTCAGTCCCTAGCAACCACAGAGTGGCTTCTAACCATCTGTAACTCTGGTTTCGGTGCCCTCTTCTGGACTCCAAGGGCACCATGCATGTATGTGGTGCATGTACATACATGTAGGCAAAGCACTCAAACATACAAAATAAAATAAATAAATCTAAAAAGACAAAAGGAAGGAAATTACCTTGAGCTGAACTGTCTTCTCCAGGAAACAAGATGTGAACGGAGAATCAGCAGAGGGGGCCCCACTTCCTTCGGCCCCAGGGCTGCTGCCCATCTGCTGCACAACCCCAGAAG